GCTGAAGCCTCGATGATTTATGTCGGGCGTCGGGGAGTCCCCGATTTATGATGTAGAATGTAGGGGATTCACCTCTGCGATAAAATACGACAAACTCGGTCAGTCGTATGATCGTTTAGGATACGTTTATACCTACGTATGTATTTCATTTTTGAACTTAAGTGAATACATGGCACGCGTTAATATATTTTACGACTATGGCATCCACATCCTATAAAAGAAAGTGTTTAAAGTTGAGTGAGAAAGTGAAAATCATAGACGAAGTTGCACTAGGTGCGGGAGTGACACAGTTAGAAAAAAATATGGAGTATCGAAAGCAATCTGTAAAATTAAGCGTATGAAAACTCAACCGGGAAAAAGAAAAACTTAAAAAAATGCGACGGCACCTAAAATGGAAAATTCACTGTATAAGTGGTTTTTAAAACAACGGGAAAATCATGTCCCAGTTAGTGGCGAAGTACTTAAACAGAGAGCGAGACTGTTAAATGAAAAACTGAAAGAAACTGAAAATTTCGTAGCTAGTGATGGCTGGCTACAACGATTCAAAACAAGATATGGAATTCGACTATTGTCTATATCTGGTGAAAAATTATCAGCACAATCACAATTAGTGCAACCATTCAAAGAAAAATTGATGAAAACAATTACCGAGCTAGATTTAAGAATGGAACAAATTTACAACGCAGATGAAAGTGGCCTTTATTGGTAAATGTTACCAGAGAAAACCTATGCTGCATCATTTGAAAAATCTGCCCCGGGAAGAAAGCCGGAGAAACAACGAATAACGTTTCTAGCCTGCACTAATGCTAACGGTTCACACAAAATAAAGCCACTGGTAATTGGGAAATCAAAAAATCCGCGATCATTTAAAAATGTTAATATCCCTGTTAATTATGACTGTTCAAAAACCGCTTGGATGACTAGTAGTATATTCCTGAAATGGTTCCACAGGTGCTTTGTCCCTCAGGTATGACAATCAATTATCACAAATGCTCTATTCATAATTTGAAGATGTGTTTTCAATTTGTAGGTAAAAGGTTTCCTAAAACAACCGAAGCTTCCAATAAAAGCGTTGTTACTATTGGATAATGCACCAAGTCATCCTCCCAGGCAACAACTGAGGAGCAGGGATGGGTCAATTTTCGTCATTACATGCCGCCCAACGTAACACCGTTAATTCAACCGATGGACCAGAATATAATAAGACTCACCAAACTATACTATAGGAAGTTTCTACTTTCGTCTGTCTTATCAAAGAATCCTGAAAACTTATCTGAGGCTTTAAAAAAAGTAACATTACGAGAAGCTGTTTTAGATTTACATATGGCCTGGAATGAAGTTAACCAGCAAATTATTCAATCTCTTTTGTACCAATAATGAAGATGATGAAGAAGACGATGTCCCCTTAAGCGTAATTAGAGAACGTTTGCGATCCAATAATGATAATGTTATTAGTGTGTCATTGGATGTTGTTGATTTATTGAAAACAGTGAATCCTAACATTGTTTGTACTCCTGCTGATATTAATTTATGGAACGAAGATAAGCAGACGAATGATGCTGATAAGGAGGAGGATATGGACAGTGAGGATGATGAGAACGATCCCATTGAAGTCAGAAGTGTAGTGACTGACGCGCAAGCTATACAAGTTTTTAACCAAGTTTTAGATTGGGCTGAAAGAAAAGAAGTTTCATACACGGATATTTTAGTTCTTCGTAAATTACGGGTGCAGGCATTGGAAGACAATGCTAAGCGCAAATTTACGCAGACAAAAATTGTGAATTATTTTTCTTCTAATTAAAAAATACTTATCGCTGTTAGAATATTTGTTTATTTTGTTATAAATAGTATGTATTAAACGTTTCTTTTAATAAATCAAATATTATATAAACCACGTTCGCTAATGTAAACATTTCGATAATATGAACCACACTTGGATTAAATTAGTTTACATTATCGAGCGTCTGCTGTACATCGAAATGTATTCGGAAGTAGGTTCGGTAAAAACACTCGGTCATGACTGGCAAATGTGTGATGTTAAAGACCCAGAAAAGGTGTATAAGAGAATAAATGGAATTTCTGAATGCAAAAAAATCCACTTAAAAAAATTTGAGAATAAAAATAATGAAACTATTATTAAAGAAAAAAATTAAATTTTATAAGTTCACAGCATCAGGTGACACAAGATGGGAGTCGTTTGTTAAGAAGGGACAATCAGAAAACATAAGCTAAGTAGGTTACCATTGGGTAATTCCATACCAGATAAGAAGAAAAAGGTTTGAATCGTTTGATGAAGGAGCATTTTGGTGAAGATTGGCGAAATAGGGAAGACCTTTTGTGGTCCAAAAACTTATTAGATAGTAACGAAAGAGAAAACGTAGATATTTCGGAAAATAATGAAACCCAAGAAGATGGAGACAAGCTACGCGATCGCTTGTACGAAGAGACTGCAATAAATATTTAGTTTTGTTTGTTCTTTTTACAAACATTACTTCAACTAACTTGTTTTATTTAAAGAAAAATGAATAATTTTTTTCGCTCACAGTATGTTATTTTGTGCGCAAAACAGGATATATCCAATGTTTTTTGGATAATAACGCCGTGTTGTTCACTTTTTTACAAAAAAATATACGTCAATCAGTTGGTCAACCCCATTAAATTGAAACTGTTTTCTCAAAATAACACTATTTTTTAAAATAAATATGTAGGGTGTTTTTTCACCGCCTGAAAAAACTGTAATTGTGGATATATCCGGTTTTGCACGCGAGCTCCTCAAATAATATAAACGGATTACGAAGAAATGCAAGAGCTTAATCTTTTTAAAGCTCTCATTCATAAGATTTATATCCTATTAATATGTTTCCAACCTGGTGACTGCATAAGTTTTAGGAGGGTATGTTAGATATTTTAGAACACACTGAACACAAAAATATTCAAATAAAACGATTTGATTCTTCATTCAAAAATTCCAACTGAGCATTTCCAAATTTCAAACATCCAATCTGTTATAGATACAACTGTAAACATTTATTCCATTCTACTTTTGATTAGTGTCCAGATATAGGCAATAGAAAAAATAGCTTTTTAGAAAGCTCTATTTAAATTTAAGAAAAATTAATTTTTTGTACCTTGTCTATCAGGGTTTACTAAATAGAATAATAATTATTCTTATTGATTATTATGATTTCGAATTTAAAAGAGTTAGAAATTAATTTTTTTATTGTTGCATAAATTTTATAAATGGTAATAAAATGTTATTCGTTATTAAATATACTAAGTGACATATAAATCCGAACACCCAGTTTAAATGGTTTTATTTTAATAAAAGTTGGTGAATGTATTTATCTTACTGTAAATAACAAGTGAAAAAATGTTCAGCCTTATCAGTTGGACATTCCGGTTTTTATACTGCTTTTTTTTAATTCACTAACGCTCTAAAAATGAATATTTCAGCCGCAGTAAAGAATCAACGTTGGCGGATTTTGGTTCTTGACATCCTTTACGATCGGTTACCATGCCTAGAGTACGGAGACCTGTACGATTTCGTCAAATTAGTGAGTTTAATAGGGGCCGTATAGTGGGACTTCGGGAAGCTGGACCTTCTTTTCGGGCAATTGCAGTTAGAGTGCAAAGAAGTGTAGACACTGTGGTTAGGTCTTGTCAGGCATGGCTTCGAGAAGGCCGTACGCAAAGAGCAAGGGGCACTGGAAGCCGCCGTAGAATAACAGACCGTGAAGATCGCCGCCTAAGATTATTGGCCTTAAGGGACCGTTTCTCCACTACCAGGTCCATTGCAAATGAATGGTTTGCAGAACACGGAAGACCTATTGGCATGTGAAGTGTTTACCGACAAATGAGAAGTTTTGGCTTGTTTTCATACCGGCCACACTGGGTCCTCCCTTTAACTCGAGAACACCGACGTAATCGCCTTGAGTGGTGCAGACAACGGTCACTCTGGGATCAGGAATGGAACAGTATTGTCTTTAGTGACGAGTCTCGATTTTGTTTAGGCATACACGATGGTCGTGCCAGGGTTAGAAGGCGACGTGGTGAAAGGAGGAATCCACAGTTTTTTGTTGAAAGACATGTTCATCACACTGTTGGAGTTATGGTTTGGGGTGCTATAGCTTATGGTTCCAGGTCACCTTTAATCTTCATCAGAGGTAACATGAACGCGCAGCGTTATATCCACGAAGTTCTAGAACCCCATCTTTTACCCTATCTTGACACCCTGGCAGATCCAACTTTCCAACAAGATAATGCCCGACCACATGTTGCAAGAGTCACAATTGACTTCTTTCAACATAATGATGTCACATTGTTACCATGGCCACCAAGATCTCCCGACTTATCCCCAATTGAGCACGTGTGGGATATGATGGGTAGGAGATTGCTCAATTTGCAACGTCCTCCTCAGACTCTAGAAGCACTTCGAGAGGAGTTGGTGGTTGCCTGGAATGAGATACCACAGGAGGACATTGACCACCTGATCAGAAGCATGCCTAGGCGCGTTGGAGAATGCGTAGCACATCAGGGTGCATCCACACATTATTAAAGGTCAAAGGGCTTTAAAGCAGTGCAATCATTTTGAAATTTTTATCATTTACTCATTATGCTTCATTAAGTACTTATACAAAATTTTATTAAAATAAAACCATTTAAACTGGGTGTTCGAATTTATATGTCACTTAGTATATTTACTTTTATGAAAGCATTTGTATCGACCACATAATAAAGCCATTACAGTGTGTTTACTTTTACATTTAAAATGGTGTCTACCAGGTAACTCAAAACATGAACATAACTATTAAAAAATCAAGATCGTGTGGGCCTAAATCGTTGTTTCATACACAGCAAAGTATGTTTCAATGACTTTTTAAATTTTTGTCGCGGTTATGAAAATTCGATAAAACCTGACTCCTCCCCTTGTCCGTAATAACCACATTTTATGATTGCGCCGCGTATATCGACTCTTCCAAAAAAAAAGCCCCTTTTCTTACCTAATTTGGCACTGATGTGACACAGACACAGATATAGCACCGCCACTATTCGCGCTTTTCCACCTGTTCAAATTATTTTTCATAGTTTTCATCGACTCGCTCATTTTTCACCACAATCGCGACGCAACATCGTTTTAACTTTGGAGAAACGTCAAACGTCGCGTCGAGAGTGTTTTGTTTCAAATGCAAAGTGCACTTGTTCGCGTGTGTACATCGCGGCTTACTATGACTGTGAAGTCGCGTTGTCGACTTCGCAACTGTATCACCTGTTCTGATAATTGTGTAAAAACGAGCGAGGTGGTTCACGCTTTGTTGGCGGCATTGTTGCCCGGTCGCTGTGTTAGAATGGCGTCAAGAAGGATGACTCAGTCATTTTAAAGTATTTTACGGTGTTTTATCAAGTCTTTCTTGGAACTTGGGTTTATCAGTCGCATATTAACTACGACCTTGGTCTTAATCCATAGTTATCTATGAAAAAGCGTTTTTCAATATCATGTTTATAGTAAAACGGTAGTTAGCTTTAACCAACAGACCATGAGTTAACTAGAACTGTAGTTAAATAATAATACCTGACGTTTGTTGACACAGAATTTGATGGTTATTCAAATATTCACAAGTTTTATATCAATTTATCTATTAGAACTTTTTTCGTTTCAAGAAACTGTGCAACGTTTTTGCTCTCTATTATGTTTTTGTTTTTACCGACCAATGCTACTAACATCGTTTCCTTAAGTTAAGATAAATTTTGAGCTTTTTTCAATGCTAGCTAACAGTTTTTTATGAATTTTAGCAACAGAAGTAGCCGTATTTTTTCTCGACTGCTGAAGAGATTAACAACAGGAAAAAATAATACTTAAACACATAAGCAAAATAATAACATACCAAAAAAAAAAATACAATTCATAAGAATGACAACATTGATTGCACGAGACAAATGCAGATAGTATTGCGAGAGTTTTAAATTTGAAACAAAAATAGTAGAAAATAGTCAAACAAAAAAAAATAAAAAAAAATCACATGAGCACAAGAAAAACTGAACTAAATGGACTCCAGCAGCTGACTTTTCATTAATTTCTTAAAAGAAACAACCTGTTTGGATCGATAGCCACTGTTGACTGCATTGTAATGCTTGACAGCATTATAGGTGTAACTTCTTTCAAAGACCGAGGTATTGTGAGGAGGCATGTTAAAATTAGCATTAAATCTAAGAGGTCTGGTAACAAAACTACCTCGGTGAACTAATTTGCTAGCGAGGAAAGCTGGTCTGTTAGATAGTAGAACTTTATGCGTGAAGACGGTCAAAAGATATAAAAATAATTTATCAATTCGCAACCAGTTGAGTTCTTTGATTTTATCTGAGACGCGACTAAACTTGCGCAATCCAAAAATAAACCTACAACAGCTGTTCTGAATTTTCTGGAGTTTTCTTTTGTGGACGTAGTCTAAACATGGGTAATACAGAACAAGAGAGTAAGAAATGACAGACAACAAAAGACTTTCAGCGAGCTTTTTTCGGGTTTTAAAATTCAAGATGTATCGATTAGAATAGAGGAGTTTCAAACGCAAATACGTTACTCTAGAGAAGAAAGAGACATGCCGATCGAATCTCATATTTAAGTCAAGGGTAACACCGAGATTCTTGGCGTAATCCACAAAAGGATGAGTGTCTCATCCAAAAAAACACAAATCCTCTGCTTCATTTCACGGTAGGAGTTCTTCGGACAGTACAACATTGCAGTAGTTTTATTAGGATTGATCTTCAAGCAGTGTTTGTTACAGTAATCACCGATGTTAGCCAAATCTAAATTAACTTTAAAAGAAACTTCATCAACCTTTGATGGATCGAAACCAAACACTAACTGAGTATCATCTGCATAAGTTTGCATACTACAGTGGACTAAACAGTCTTGCAGATCGATCGTATAAATCAGATATAGTAAGGGACCTAATACTGAGCCCTGAGGAACTCCTGAAGGAACTGGCTCAGAGGAGGAAATTCCCTGATCAGTTTTCACTGTTTGTTGACGATTTAGCAAGTATGACTCAAAGACTTCAGAACTATATCTGACATTCCATAATGAGATAACTTACTCAGTAGTATCTGGTGATTGACCATATCAAAGGCTTTCGAGAAATCAAACAGTACCAAGACGGTGTTGATGTGATTGTCTAAATTGTGAATGATGGAATCAGTAAGATGTAATAAAGACGAAGTAGTGCTGTAACCAGCTCTGAAACCTGACTGATGTAGAGGAACTAAGTGATTTTGTTCGAAAAACTCCACTAGTTGTGAGTAGACAGCTCTTTCGAGTATTTTTGATAGAAAGCATAATAAGGTAATTGGCCTGAGATCCGAATATTGTTCTGGATGATTAGTTTTAGCTATTGGAATAATAATACCATTTTTCCAACTGGCAGGAAAGTAACCTGTTTCGAGACAGACATTAATAATGTGAGTTATATTGTCTATGGTATCAGGCAAACATAAGCAAACCATATTTAAAGTTAGACCATCAGAGCCACATGCCGTAGACTTAATGTGAGAGATTATATTGACGATGTTTAAAAGCAAACAGAGGTGCATCCGGTGTATGGCGTCTATCGCTATAAGAGTTAGAGACACTATCAATCAAATTTGGATCAGCTGCAGCTGTCTGGAAAATTGAAAGAAAATAATTATTTAAAATGTTAGGCTCAAGGAGACTGGGAGGTATCGCAACATGTTTCTGGGCTACCACATTCATCCTCCTCAGGTGTTGCCAAGCTTGACTAGTTAAGATTCCGGAAACGTGACATATATGCTTTTTTCTCGCTTCTAAGCGATGCAAGGGCATAATTTCTCAAATCTTTGTAGCTGGCCCAATTCTGATCAGATCTGTTATGCTGATAGACAGCGAATGCCTCATCTCTGAGTTGAAAAATCATTTTCAAGTTAGGAGTGAGCCAGGGCGCAGCAGGTTTTGTGACACGTACTGTACGTAGCGGAGCGTAGAGATCGAATAGATAAAGAAGACGGCCAGTAAAAATAGAGACTTAATATCCACATCATTCACGAAATAAATGTCATTAAGCTGCATTGATGCAATCTGCGTCTTAAAACTTAGAATATCAATGCTATTAAGATTTCTATATGTTACAAATTTAGGCTCTATTTTTTTATAACAAACGGAAATATCACAGTATGTGAGCCGATGATCACTAATTGAGTCTGCATTGAGTGTCCCTGACCTTTTTTTTATACTCCAACTACCACGAAGGCCTAAGGCCTAAGCACCCACTGGGTACCGTGGGGCTATAGGGGGATACATGGGAAAGGGGGAACGCCACACGGACTCTGGCGAGGGAACACGTGTGCATGCCACATGCACACATTCTGGCTCCGCCTACGAGATCCGACGGGTGGTACCTCCGCGTTCGACAGTCAGAGACCGTCTACCACCTACGGACAATCACAACATCCATAGCCAAAAGAAAAATTTCTCCTGGGACGGGACTAGAACCCGCACAGCGCACGGCGACTGATCAGGAGACCGAAGAGTCTACTACTGCGGCCACCGCTGCTGTCTGACGATAGTATTGTCACTAACAAATATTGGATCAAGTAATGTGGAACTGAAGGCTGCTAAAACAGGTGACAAACACGATATTTAACCGATATTTAACAGATATTTACCAAAATAATTGTATTTTTAGCGTGTTCTTATAGGGTCTACTACTAAACATTTGCACAAGCAATGTCTGAAAAACCTTACCTTCCTTGACGGAGGTTTTATTCAAATTTAAGAACCTCAATGCAGGATTGCAACATAAGTTTATGATGAACTTCTGGAAAGTTAACTGGCGCTGTCCAAATATTCGAAAAATTGAAAAACCGGGCCCAAGGTTGTTTGATTGTTCAATATTCCAGTATGTATGCGCGTATGCTTACAAAAATATTCTGATTCGGTTTATTTTAGATAATCTTATTCATGGACGCCCGTAGGAATTATTCTGGGAGAGATACATTTTTTTAAAGTCTACCTGCATCAAGGGATGATTTAGGATTTCGTCTAGGGGGGCGCCAACGGTATTTGGCACTGGTAATTTTTCAGAATCCGTGGAAGTTCTATAATTTATCATAGTGCTTCTTCAATCCATTGTGTTATATCTGGTCAATGTCAGTTTGATAAAAAAAACATGGAAAATGCAGAGAAATTCTCAGAAAGGCAGTATTTTATTATATGAGAACAAAATAAGTACGTGGCATTTATATATAATTAGTGCAATCATGTTAAAGATTAAAAGAAAAAAAGTTCATTGCTCTGTTATTCTGAGGGACCCCGAGACAAATCCCAGTCCATTCCACACAAAATAAAGTCTTTGATGGCGAAAATGAACATGAGACCGAAAAATTCACATTATCGTATGGGCGTTAGACAAGACAAAGAAAGATATAGATCTATAGACCATTATAGATCGTGACTTGAGACCGTCCCCAGACAAAATTGCGCAACGAGGTCTACTAGTGTGTACTAAACTTAAGGATTAAAACTCTGAACTGCCCATTAAACAAATCAAGTAATTGGTACAAATACTGACACAATCAAGCACTTCTATTATATATTCTGATCGTCGCATCTCTGTTTACTACCAGACCGTACGCGGTATGAACTGTAAGTGTAAAGAATTCTTTGTAAATGTCGCTATGTCTGACTATGATATCATCTGTTGTACTGAAACTTGGCTGCAGTCTGCAGTACTTAGTTCTGAATTATTTACTGACAAATATGTTGTATTTAGAGCGGACAGAAATTTCTCTGCGATGGGGTGTTCTAGAGGAGGTGGTGTCTTAATTGGTATTCGTAATCAACTTGCTGCATCAGAGGTAAATATGACTTTTATCAGAGACGATATTCCCAGTATTGACATAATTGGAATCAAACTTAGATATAAAAATGAAGTGACTTATTTCTTTGTGATATACATACCGCCTGACACGAGTACTTCCTGCTATGAAAGATTCTTTGAACATTTAGAATCGCTTGATTACCTCTTTGGCAAAAGTATTTATATACTAGGTGACTTTAATGTTCCCGAATTTCTTAATGAAAATCACCTCCAATCTTCTCACAAGCAGAAAACAATTCAGTCATTTATGAGTTTCTTCGATCTTTCTCAATTCAATGATGTTCGGAATGAAAATAATAGGCTATTAGATTTAGTGTTATCAAATAAACAATGTAGCGTCGTTAAGGCTTATGATGACCTACTACCTGAGGATGTT